CCTCAGCCTCACCGCCATTTCACATCAGAGCCCTCATCACCTCCTTCCTTTTTTTTATATTCACATAACAGTAAGGAAATGTATGATGGGAAACCATGGATGCAGCACAGCACTCCTGACAAACAGCATCCTGATTGAGAAATGCCGCTGTATGCCAATAACACTTCTTTGCCTCCAACTCTTTCGGGGTCCTGAGGAAGCTAAGCAAAACGTACTGACCTCTGGAGGACTTTGATATTATAACATATAATGCTGTAATTTATTGGGCTGACTAGCTAAAATACTGTTTTTATGGTAAATTTCTGGAAGATATGTTTCAATAAACATGTTTTATGCAGTAATATGAGGTTGTCCGTTTTCAGTACCAGTAAAGTCCCTTTTGTTTTTTTGAAGTTCTTTAAACTTTGTATAGGATTATAGTATGGAGACTGGCTAGGCCACTCCATGACCTTAATGTGCTTCTTCTTGAGCAACTCCTTTGCTGCCTTTGGGTCATTGTCATGCTGGAAGACCCATCCACGATCTTTAGTGTTCTGGCTGAAGGAAGAAGGTTCTCATCCAAGATTTGACAATACATGGCCCCATCCATTGGCCCCTCAATGCAGCAAAGTCAGCCTGTACTTTTAGCAAACAGCCCCAAAGCATGTTTCCACCTTTGTGCTTGACTGTAGGGATGGTGTTCTTAGAGTCAGAGTTTTTCTTCCTCCAAACACGAAGTCAAGTTAATGCCAAAGAGCTCAATTATGGTCTCATCTGACCACTGCACTGTCTCCCAATCCTTCACCGAATCACTCAGATGTTCACTGGCAAACTTCAGAAGGGCCAGTATATGTGCCTTCTTGGAGGGGAACCATTCGGATGCTGCAGGATTTCAATACATTGCGGAGTATTATGTTATCAATGGTTTGTCTAGTGACTGTGGTCCCAACTGCCTTGATCATTCACAAGCTCCTCCTGTGTAGTTCTCGGCTGATCCCTCACTTTTCTCATGATTATCCTTACCCCATGGAGGTGAAATCTTGCATGGAGCTCCAGACTGAGGGCAAATGATGGTTATTTTGTATTTCTTCTGTTTGTGAATAATTGCTCCAACAGTTGTCTCCTTCTCACCAAGCTTCTTGCTGATGGTCTTGTAGCCCACTCCAGCCTTGTGCAGGTCTACAATCTTGTCCTTTATGTTCTTTGACAGCTCGTACCCATGTTAATGAGGTTCGAATGGAAGAAATATTCTGTGGACAGGTGGCTTTCATATACATGAGTTGTTAGGAGCACCTTCTTAAATGGACAGGACTAATCTGTGTACCACATAGCTAGTCTGTGGGAGCCAGAATTATTGTTGGGGAGTAGGAGAGCAAATACGTATAAATTTGAGTTGCAGTGAGTAAAACATTTGTATCTTTTTTTCTGGATTTTTGGTTGATATTCTGTCTCTATCATTTAAAATACACCCATGATAAAAAATTATAGACCTTCCATTTCTTTGTAAGTGGGCAAACTTACACAATCTGCAGGGGATCAAATAAATATTTTCTTCAATGTATAAAAGGAAACAAAGCAACAGGCACTGAGTTCATGACAATACATGAAATGCCTCAGAACATTTTATCCAGGCTGTGCAACTAACATTTTAAACAGCTGAGGAACTAAAAGTTGAAGCATGTACTCTTACAGTCCTGGTTTCTAAATGTTTAGCCAAGTAGTTCCAGAGCAGCTGAAGGGCTTCAAGATGACCAACTATTATTTGCACTATTCCTACTAGGATATAAATAGAAAGCACAACAGTAAAAAAAAAAAAAAAAAAAAGATTCTTTAGAAACGTCAAAGTGGAATGTGGACTCCACCCACAATTATTCTATTGCAAACACATTTCATCAGCCATGCTCATCCAGTTTAGTTCAGGCTGCCCACTGTATTGCTGTAGATTACATCAAGACAACAAACTTCAAATACATGAATATGTTGCTAGGTAGCCACAAATCAGTAAGCACTGTCCACATTCTGTTCCAGACATTCAATGACAGCTCCCAAGCCTATAGTGACAACAGTCCATTCATACACTGAAAAGCTGATCTCTACCAGCAAAAAACAGCAAGTGGCCTCCCGGTGACGGTCCGTTCATTCATGTGTGTAGCATTATGCAAGCTGGGAAGAATCAATTCACAAGAGCAACACTGTGCTATAGGCATTTAATGAAGTCATCAGCTTTGCAAGGCTCACAAAGTGCCAGCGCAATGAGCAATTATGAGACATAGCAAACATTTTACAACTGATTAGATGACATTCTAAAAGGCAGATGTACAAATGGCATCTCTGGAATCAGAATCACTTTGTAATTAACATTAATCCAGCTAATTATCATACATCTGGCGTGACCAGATCAGACGCTCCGCTCATTTCTGACATGAAATTACTTTACATGTATGCAAATCTGAGTAAAGACATGTGAAAGCTCACATAAGCACTGGGGTGAGTGTAGTTTAACCCTTTTGGGACCATAGCTTTCAGTGCCAAGTTAACATATTGCTGATTCTTCAGTATGTCTTTAGGCCTGAGAACTAGGAGCACACACAGTTCCAGTTCTCTGCTAAAAGTTTATTTAAAGCTGAATTTTACTGAACGAACACACGGGGCTGTACCTACAATGAAGAGTTTTCCGTGTGCTGTTGGCTGCTGTGTTGGATTGAAAGCAAAAGTCCTTTACCCCCAGATAGCCCTGCTATCTAGGGGTGATCTTCCAGTGCTATTGGGGTTAATGTCAGCTGTTTCACCTGTAATAGGCATTTACCAAAGTGCCGTTAAAGCCTGCCCCCTCCTCTATTCATAGAAGCTGTACTATTGGTCCCCACAACTAAAAGCACTGTAAATGGATGACAGGCAGATGAATGAAAGGACTGCCTCTTCAAATCATGGAAGGTTTTTCATTTTGGGAACTGATAGTAAAGCTTCCCTGAATGGAGGAAGGGGGTAGAAAGGGTGGTCATAGTGCCTGTCACGGTGTGCAGTGCAGCACCAGAAGATCACCACTGCAGGGGTATCAAGGAGCACAGGACTGAAGATTTCAACAGAACACAGCAGCCACCAGCACTCAGGACACACTCCATTTAGGGCAAGTACGGTCCCTAGTGCGGTTTGTTCAAATAAAAGAAAAAAAAAAAAAAAAAAAAAAAAAACCACACACAACCTTTCAGTTTGTGCTTTTTTTGCGCTGCTGACCCCACCCCCAGCCTCCATTTAAGTCAAGGGAAGAATTAGGTTTTGCTCTCCTCCTGGGATACCAATGTCACATATCCTAGGAAGAACACTTTTGAACTCCATTTGTAGAAAAAGACACAGCATCAGGTGTCACATGTTCAGACAGATCTATGAATGGAGAAATATAATGATTGCCCGTCACGGCATGGACTCCACTGGACCGCTGAAGGTATGCTGTGGTATCTGGCACCAAATCCTCAATATCAGATCCGTTAAGTCCTGTATGTTGCGTGTTTGGACCTCCCAAGAATCGGACTTGTTTTTCCAACCTCCCACAGATATTCGATTGCATTAAAATCTGGAGAACATGGAGGCCAAGTCAACAACTCAAACTTGCTGTTGTGTTCCTCAGCCTGGTCCGATGAATTGAAGAAAGGTTTACCTTCTTCCATTGGTCCGTGGTCCAGTTCTGATGCTCACATGCCCCTTATAGGATCCTTTGACTGTGGTAATGGGTGACCATGGACATCTTGGCCTGGTCTGTGCCTACGCTGCCCTATACATTACAAAGTGATGCCCCGTGTGTTCTGACACCTTTTAATCAAAATTCCAGTCACAATCTAAGGCTAAACCTACTCCCACCTCCATTCTAAACCTACTCTAACCTGTAAAGAAAAGATCCCTATACTTGCCTATTCTGAAAACACCTGGGAGATGACATCATCCATAGCCTTACAATAGGACATCCATTGTCAGCTGCCACTCCTCTACGCAGAAGCCGGCGCTGACAGCTGATCCTGGGACCAAACCAGCTTCAGGATAGGCAAGTATACAGATCTTTTCTTTACAGCAGGGGTCTCCAAACTATGACCCTTCAGCTGTTGAAGTACTACAAGTCCCAATATGCCTATGCAAGTCTCACCTGTGGCTGTCAGAGTCTTGCAAGGCCTCATGGGACTTGCATTTCCTCAACACCTGGAGGGCATAGTTGGGAGACCCCTGCTTTACAGGGTCATATAGAATTCGGGTGGCGGTAGGTTAGCCTTTTATAGATTATTATTAGAATTAACTTTTGCAGCTCCAGTAGCTCTTAAAAGGACTTCAAAGTCAGCCTTGGCTTCCCATGTATGAATGAGCCCTGGCCATCCATGATTCACCAGTTTTCCTTCCTTGGATCACTTTTGGTCAGTTCTCACCACTGCAGACCGGGAACATCCCACAAGAGCTGCAGTTTTGGAGTTGCTTTGAACCAGATGTCTCACCATTACAATCTGGCTCTCATCAAAGTCGCCCAAACACTTACACTCACTCTTTTCTACTTTTAAACACATCAACTTCAGGGACAACAGGTTCACTTGCTGCGTAGCATTATCCCACCCACTTTCAGGTACCACTGTAATGAGATAATCAGTGTTATCCACCTGTCAGCGGTCATAATGTTATGGCTGATCGATGTATTATAAGAACACCAGAAGGGGAAGTCAGACATTGTCAATGGGTGGGGTTCCCCTTTAATAGGCCATTTTCATGGCATCAACGAAACCAGGAAGGAGCTACATCCCATGCCGAGCGTACTAGACTCTGCACTATGGCCGGGAACACTAAACTTCTGCTGGAGGGACCCAGATGTCTGAATGGAGGAGCCCAGCCACACACACACAGGACCGTGCCAGCCCACAGGTGTCCATCGCAAAACTGTCCAGAGCCCAGGACTCCCCCCACCCCCCTATCCGGAGTGACACGTCCACTTGCCCCTTCACTTAACCGGGGGCCCAGCTGTCACCAGCTCCCTCCTTTCCTGTACTTACTTTGCTGGTCAGGTCCACCTCCGCCTCTCCGTTCCTCAGCGGCTCTCCGTCCACACTGCAGTCCGAATCCTCGGCGTCAGGCTCCGGGAGAACATTGAGGCTGGCACCGGGGACTCACACAGGTTTACCTCCGGCTGCGATACTGAAGAAGCCGCCATCTTGGAAACACTGACTACCATCCCGCAGTCTATTACCGTAGACTAGAGGACGGTCCGCCCCTTCTCCTTTATTTCTTTTTCTGATTGGTGGTTGCGGAATGAGATCACCATCAGTGAGCTCTTGGTGACACGCCCCCTCCAGGGATAGCTCCTGAATATTGAGAAGAGGCCTCGCTGTGACAGGGGACAGTAAATGAGGATTCACGCGGCTTATGAATAATATATGAGGAGTCAGCTGGCCGAAGGGGAGCACAGCGGGCAACTGGTGCTGGGCCCATGAGCTTGGGGGGCTAACTCAGCCTTCTCTGCTACATTATTCATTCAAATGTATGTGGGGCCGACAAATTCTGCGCTGCTACATTATTCATGAAAGTGTGTGTGGGGCGAACTCTGCCCCGCTACATTATTCATTAAGTACCCCCCTCCCCAAGGAGCCGCTTGATCATTTTGGGTTCTCTTCTGCTCCTAGACTCCAAGAACAACCTCAGCCCCTACAACACATCTGGTTGAATAAAATCACCGCGAGTACAAGTTTAAAATTCCTTTCACCTGATTGTGGGGTATTGCCAATAAATAAACACATTTATTGATAAACACGCTTAATTTATTTATATGGATTAGCATAAATGTCAGTTTAATCGCCTCCCGCCCACCATATTAGGAAATGGCAGGCGAGAGACGGTTCTCTCGTTCTGGGAGGAGGTCATATGATGTCCTCCCCACTCTAACTGCGCATGCGCCCCAAAGATCACCGATCACAGTAAAGAGCCGGTGACATCGGCTCTGTCGTGATCATTCCTCAGAGGGGACATCTACACTGATTATTCAGTGCCCTGATGATCAGTGTAGCCCCATCAATGCCACCTGTTAGTGTCCATCAATGCCACATCAGTGTACATCAGTGCTATATATCAGTGCCCATCAGAGCTGCCTTTCCATGCCAACTATTAGTGCCAGCCAGTGCCACCTATCAGTGCCAGTTATTGTCACCTATCAGTGCCACCTATCAATGTCAGTCAATGTCACCTATCAGTACCAGTCAGTGCTGCCTATCAGTGCCACCTATCAGTGCTCGTCAGTGTTGCCTAACAGTTCCAATCAGTGCCACCTATCAGTGCCAGTCAGTGCCATCTATTAGTGCCACACACCAGTGCCCATCAGTGCTGCCTATCAGTGCCATATATAAGTACTGTCTTTCAGTGCCCATTAGTGATGCCTGTAAATGTCCACAAGTGATGCCTGTCAATGCCCATCAGTGCCACCTATCAGTGCCCATCATTAGCGCACATCAGTGAAGGAGAACAAATACTTATTTACAAAATTGTCTAACAGAAACTAAGAGAAAACTTTTTTTTTCTTCAAAATTTTCAGTCTTGTCTAGTTTGTTTAGCAAAAAATAAAAAATCCAGTGGTGATTAAATACCACCAAAAGAAAGCTCTCTCTGTCTCAAAAAAAATTATACAAATTTTGTTTGGGTACAGTGTTGCGTGACTGCGCAATTGTCATTCAAATTGCAACAGCGCCGAAAGGTGAAAATTGGCCTGGGCAGGAGGGGGTAAAAGTACCCGGTAGGCAAGTAATAACCACTTGCCATTCAGAAGGTTTACCCCCTTCCTGACCAAGCCATTTTTTTACGCTATTCGGTACTTCACTATTTCAACTGGTAATTGCGCGGCCATGCAAACAAAATTTATGTCCTTGTTTTCACACAAAAAAATGTCTTCTTTTGGTGGTATTTGATCACCACTGAGTTTCTATTGAGCATCTGTGGGGCATCCTCAAACGAAAGGTGGAGGAGCGCAAGGTCTCTAACATCCACCAGCTCCGTGAAGAGGAGTGGAAGAGGACTCCAGTGGCAACCTATGAAGCTCTGAACTCCATGCCCAAGAAGCTTAAGGCAATGCTGGAAAATAATGGTGGCCACACAAAATACTGACACCTTGGGCCCAATTTGGACATTTTCACTTAGGAGTGTGCTCACTTTCGTTGCTAGCGGTTTAGGCATCAATGGCTGTGTGTTGAGTTATTTGAGGGGACAGCAAATTTACACTGTAATACAATCTGTACACTCACTACTTTACATTGTAGCAAAGTGTCATTTCTTCAGTGTTGTCACATGAAAAGATATAATAAAATATTTACAAAAATGTGAGGGGTACGCTCACTTCTGTGAGATACTGTATATATATATTTGTAACCTAACCCTGCTTTAAACGTCTCCACAACATTATCCCTGACCTGTCTGGTATGTTCCTTGTCTTTCATGCTGTGGTTTGTTCACTAATGTTCTCTAACAAACCTCTGAGGGATTCACAGAACATCTGTATTTATACTGAGATTAAAATTACACACAGGTGGAATTTACTAATTCGGTGACTTCTGAAGGCAATTGGTTCCACTAGATTTTAGTTAGGGGTATCAGAGTAAAGGGGGCTGAATACAAATGCACGCCACACTTTTCAGATATTTATTTGTAAGAAATTTTGAAAACCATTTATGATTTTCTTTCCACTTCACAATTATGTGTCACTTTGTGTTGGTCTATCACATAAAATCCCAATAAAATACATTTCAATTTTTGGTTGTAACATGACAAAATGTGAAAAATGTCAAGGTATATGAATACTTTTGCAAGGCACTGTATACCATAGTTTGTGCAAGCTATAACTTTCACACAAACCAATGAATATACACCTATTGGGATTTTTTTCTTACCAAATACATGTACCAGAATACATTTTGACCTAAATTTATGATTAAAATTGAGTTTATTGTATATTTTTTATAACATAATAGAAATTCTCGTATTTTTGTTTTTTTTTAATTCTGTCTTTTTCATTACAAAAAATAAAAAACTCAGTGGTGATCAAATACCAGCAAAAGAAAGCATTTTTTGTGTGAAAACAAGGACATAACTTTTGTTTGCATGGCTGCGCAATTACCAGTTGAAATAGCGTAGTGCCGAATAGCAAAAACATTTTTTTCGGTTGTAACATGACAAAATGTGGAAAATTTCAAGGGGGATGAATACTTTTTCAAGGCACTGTAGATACTGGAATTTACACAGTTTTTACTTTCTGACTGCCTATCTCATTTCTTGAGGTGCTAAAAGGCCAGGGCAGTACAAATACCCCCAAATTACCTCTTTTTGAAAAGTAGACACCCTAAGCTATCTGCTGAGAGGCATGTTGAGTCCATGGAAGATTTATTTTTCTTCCTCAAGTTTTTGGAAAATGACAAAAAAAAGTTTTTTTTTACACAAAGTTGTCACTTAAATGATATATTGCTCACACATGCTACGGGTATATGTGGAATTACACCCCAAAATACATTCTGCTACTTCTCCCAAGTGTGGGGATACCACATGTATGAGACTTTTTGGCAGCCTAGCCACATACAGGAGCCTGAAGTGCAATGACCCCTTTGAATGCCTGATGGTGCATAAATTCCTCATTTCATTCCTCACTACCTATCACAATTTCAAAGGCTATGAAATGTCGGGATAGCAACCCCCCCCCCCCCAAATGACTCCTTTTTGGAAAGTAGACATCCCACATTATTTGCTGAGAGGCATGTTGAGTCAATGGAAGATTTTTCTTTCTTACCACAAGTTTGTCACTTAAATGATATGTTGCTCATACACGCCATGGGTTTATGTGGTATTAGGGCCAGTTCACACTACACACATTTCAGTGTGCTTTTTTTCTACATCCAAAACACACAGAAAATAGGTTATATGGTTCTCAATGTCATAGTTCACTTCAGTGCTTGCAATTCCAGTGCGTTACCATTGCAGAAAAAAAAGTAGACATACCAGTACATCACTGGTCCTTGTTGGTGATATATGTAATGCTTTTTTTTTCATGCTGATCGAAAAAAGAGAACTTAACAGATTCCTCCATTCACATCAATCGATGTGAATGAATAAATCTCTGATAGAAAAAGTGTGTGGTATGCCCACGATTAGAAAATATCACCATGCATCCACCCACTTCTAATGTTGGGCATACACGTAATGTTCTTTTTTTTTTCAGCCCACGGAAAAAATTAAGAGATTCCTCCATTCACATTGATCAATGTGGATGAAGAAATCTGTGCCAGAAAAAAAAAAAAAAAAAAAAACATATGCTGCAGCATAGGGGCAATCCACCCACTGATCACCCCTGGCCACTATGCTTGGGCATATATGTTCTTTTCTTGTAACTGCAGATGAAAAATCTCATCCAGTAGCACTGCACGCATTGATGTATATTCTGAGCGCAAGCCCCCCCCTGTTGCTGTTAGAATAAACAGACTGGTGCTGCAGCTGAATGATGTTCCTGCACAGTACACAACAATGGTTAACAATAAAACACAGTAACAATAGAAGATTAACTCAATAAAACAACACATTTTTTGATTGCAATCACTGTCAGAAAATATGAAAACAATATGTGCCAAAGCATAAGAGCAATCCACCCACTGACTAACCCAGGCCCCCATGCTTGGGCATATTTGTTCTTTTTTTAACTGCAGATAAAAATTCTCATCCAGCAGCACTGCATGCATTGACGTATATTCTGAGTGCAAGACCCTGTTGCTGTCAGAATAAACAGATCAATGCTGCAGCTGAATGGAGTTCCTGCAAAGCAAACAACAACAGTTAATAAAACACAGTAACAATAGAACATTAACTCAATAAAACAACAATTTTTTAAAAAAATATAAGTCAAAAAAATTTAAAATATGCCGAAGCATAGGAGTGATCCGCCCACTGACCACCCCAGGCCCCCAAGCTCGGGCATGTATGTTGGGGTTTTTTTTAACTGTAGATGAAAAATCTCATCCAACAGCACTGCATGCACTGATGTACATATTGTGAGATCAAGACCCCCCTGTTGCTGTCAGAATAAACAGATCAATGCTGCAGCTGAATGGTGTTCCTGCAAAGCAAACAACAATGGTTGACAATAAAACACAGTAGAAATAGAACAGTAACTCAATAAAACGAAAAACTGAA